GAAAAAAAACTTCAAACCTACAAGAAAAGAGCATATTTTCAAAGGACAATATTGGGAAATATTGCTATCATAGCATAAACGTATCGTTCTTTGAAGAGTTAATAGGCCGGCAACGCACCTCTGACACCTCTGGTGTTGTGGGTGTCCTTGCGCGGCGCTGATTGTTTACTATCAGGTGATCCGTCTGCTCGTTTGCCTCCTACTCCATAAAAAAAACATTTTATTTGTCTACTTATGGACTACTTATATATAAAAGAACGCATAAAAAATGAATATCTTTATTTTTCTGAACTACAACTAATAAATAACACTGTATGTATATGTAGTTTCGGAGATTATGAAACTTATCTCTATTACATCTAGTTCCTTATACTCCTACGTGCCGCGACGTGGTCTGAGCTAGCACATTCATATAATATGTGCATTATAAATGTTTGTATGTATGTATCACAATACACACAGAAACCCATTAAAGTATACATCGAAGTTTACAGTATTTTGTACACAGCTCGACATATTAGAGCAAATTTTCAATTAGAGTGTGGGGGTAAAAGTGGTGATTAACAGGGATTAGTCACCAGCATGCCGCTGTGGTAGACATGCATCAAACTACGTAATACCAGTATAATTTGGCCGTCGAATGTACGGCAAGATGATACAATGCTAGATAATGATAAACTGGTTGGTCTTCTCAATGTGTCGTTGTGTAGCCGTGGGTAAGTGTAACTATTCAGTTCTATTTAAACTTTGATCCCGGCACCGCTGTTCGTGAAGTGTTTAATGACTTCAATGTTCATTGCATTTTCTGGTTTTACTTTTTTTGTACGAAGAGGATAACGTTATGTTTTCTTTTGTGGAGTAATTTTTTGAGTGCGTTTTTTTTATGATATATGAGTTTTTGAACTCAAGATTACTTTGTGTATGAATAAAATTTAAATATTTTGTTCATTATGGGTCCAAAATCAAAGGTTTTAGGTAAATATTATATAGCGGTATTTCCGAACCGATACCACCTTCAAACTCTCAAGAGAAGAGCGTATTCCTTTTTAAAAGCCCGGCAACGCATCTATGACTCCTCTGGTGTTGCGGGTGTCCATGGGCGGCGCTGATTGCTTACCATCATGTGATCCCTCTGCCTTTGATTCCTTTTCCATAAAAAAAAATAGGAATAGCAATATTTGGGTACTCATTTCAACTAGAATTAACCTTAAATCAGTCGTAGTCTCTTGTTGTACATTATTAAAAAGCGTATATTTTTAGGACGAACAACCAACGAAACTCAACAGCATCTCTAAAAGCAGCATTGAAACAACTTCAGAGTACACGCTAAACCTAACCAATACAAGTTTAATCTAGAAGAGCCGCTGAATGTTTAAACAGGCGAACTAAATTCAGTCCACACGCTTTGCAACTAAGTATAACCTCCAGCGTATCATCCTATTCGTTTCTCTCTAACTCAATTTCAGCTTAACAATTTTTGGTATAGAGTTGAAAATTCGTTGAAATAAAATTGCAGATTGGGATAGATTGACCTGCTGTTCTACGTTTGCTTCCTTGTTTTATATCGAACACACGTTCACAGTTGAAAGTTTACACAAGAATGTTGGGCTATCAAGGTGAATACCTCGGGGACAGTTTAAATAGACTGTTTAACTTACACGTACGGTGTTTGAATTTGTTGCTTATAAAGCGTTGTTGCTGTAATGTATTCTGATCTTAAAGGTATAGGCAAAAAGGTCGATATTTATTATAATGAATTTTATCAGTAAAGTGTTTCTATGATGAGCAGTAAATCACAAGAACAGGTGGTCGTACTTCGGACCAACTGTCACCTTTTGTAATATTTTAGAGATTCATTTTAATCGATATTTTTAAGCCCCATAAAAGTAGACATAAATACTGCAGATTATACGATTCTAATATATTTATCTACTCACTTCCTTAAGTAAGTGTTGACGAGGAACTTGACTAGAACTAAAGTTCGATTGGACCGATGACAGCTATTCTCACCTAGCTTCACTGACGGACTGACTGACAGACTATTATTTATTTTGTATTTGTTGACGTTTCAAAAGTACCAAATTATGGTTTAATTTAAATAAATGCTTTGACTCTGACACTAATCTATTAAATACAACACTAATACGGCTATACTGTTGAGAAATCGAAAGAAGTATGTGAAAGGCGTAGTAATTGGCCTTCTATAGTCTCTGCCTACCCCAAGGGCGTGAAGTTATTTATGTATGTGGTGTGTAATACAACTACAATAAGAAATTCCAGTAAAAGCCCTCAAGCATCTTTCAACTAAAATCTCGAACGATTGCATAAAACCGTTCCTTCTCCACATCGTAAACTCAGCCCTAAATCGTTGATATAAAGTTTAATTTCCATCTGTGTACAAAGCGCCACTTGTTGCCAACCGCGGTTCTATTGTAGTGTGATTGAATCTGAAGGATTAGCAGTATTGTTCGAGGGTGTTAGTGGAACACCTAAGAGGTGGAAACATTCGGAGACGGCGCTGAGATAGATACACTGGTTTATCCTAAGTTTAATATTTATTCTTGGAGTTTTTGTTGTTTATTGACCATTGGTTAGGGTTAGGGAGTGACTGCCTCGTTGGCCGAGTGGTCGCAAGTGTGACTGCTGGAAACGGAGTCTCGGGTTCGATGCCCGAGTCGGGCAAAGTACTACTGGGTTTTTAAAAATTCTCAGTAGTAGCACGGAGTCTGGAATTGTGCCCGGTATATAGCAATAGGCTCACCCTCTATTGCATGGGAGTCATAACATAAACAGTGAAAAGGGAGTGTTAAATTGTAAAATTGGACTAAGAGAGTGCCGTAATATGCACCTCTACCACAATCTAGAATAAAAGGCGTGATGTTATGTTATATTTTTATTTTGCTTAGTGTGAAAATGTCAGATATTTTAAAAAGTGCGGTTTGAAGCCCTATGATTATGGTAAATAGAATATAGGTTACTTATGTGCAGACAGCAGGTTGTATAAAACTCATCTCTATTACACAATCGTAGATCACATCATTGCTTACCACCAGGCGAGATATAGGCCAAACGTCGGACCATCATTACATAAAGAAATTGAGACTTACTTATAGAATTGAACCCTTTATGACACTGAATCTACATAGATTGGTTTGATACATCAGTAATCTCATAGCTTACTGACTGCGGGGCTCAGTAATAACACAGGTACAAAGTATTTAATTAAAACTCTCTTTTTAAGGATAAAATACCAGTTTCATTTAAAGATAACAAACAATAAGAACAACACAGTGTCGCGGGTTCGATACCCGCACGGTGTGACTCTTTGTGTGATCCACAATTTGTTGTTCTAGGTCTGGGTGTCATGTGTACGACACAGGAGAAAATCCTAATGAGAGGCAATAAGTTTAGTAAAAAAAGAAGAAAAAATAAAACGACATAAAAATATCATTCAAATTGTTTATTCTCAGTACATTCAAAGCATTGTCACGTGCCAAAGTCTATACTTATACATATTATTTACATCTTAGTTTTATATTGGGATCGCCTTTTATTATTCTGTTGTTGACAGCAATCATTATATTACTTGCTCATGTATTATTCTGAACATGTGTCGAAATGTCGTT